GCCATCTCGGATCAAGGTATCGCCTGTGTTCTTGGATGGTCCATGGCTTTGACGGCGAAAGCCCTTGACGAGCAGTATGGCCCGGAGCTGTCGCGGCCTCCCTTGGCCGACTGCGAGAGCCCGTATTATTTGCATCAGGCGCTCGTTGCAAAGGGTATCCAGGTCGGTCACCAGGCGTGCAAGACTTGGTGGGGCAAGTATCGGGTTGTGCCTGGCAAGGTTAGTATTTCTAGCGCCCAGGAGCTGGAGGAGCAGCACGGTTCTGCCATCCGCCACCTGGGCATCGAGTATAAGACAGCTTTCAAATTATGCGGGGCGCTCCGACAGTTGGATCCACGCCAGTGTAGTAGCCACGGTCGTCCGCAGGCCACGAAGTGAAGTGTCCGAACGTCATAGGGCGGGAAGCTGGGTGTGGGTGGTGGCGAAGAGTCGTGTGGATATTTGGTAGAGCTTGCACTGCCCCCCCACAAAGTGGGGGTATTGGCTGGCGTCGCATGAAAACCCTGGCACTGGTGAGAACACTGAGCGTTCGGGTAAAGTGATTGTTGTTGTTGTTGTGGTTGAACTCTCACTTCTGAAGAATAATTATTGTTGATCCCCCGCCACCGGTGCATACTGTTTTTCTCAATCAAAGTGTCCCTCGAAGCCCGCACCCGGTTTTTGATCAGGGAAAGTCTTGAAGCTCAAACTGGGCTCCTGGCCCCCTGGTTACAACAACGGCTCCCGCCTGAAACTTCCTCACCATTTAGCCAGGACCCCGGCTCCCGCCCGAGATTTCCTCGCATTTTATTCAGGAATCGCGCTCTCGCTGGGGAATTCCTTGCGATTTATTGCAGAATCGCTTTCCTGGCGCTCTGGAGTCGCGCTCTCGCTGGAGAGTTGTTTGCAATCTACTGAAGAATAGCGCCCTTGCGTTGGAATTTCCTGCAATTTACTGAAGCGCCGCGCTCCCGACACCCAGGTACCCAGGAGTCGCGCTCACGCTTAGGACTCCCTTCACAGATTACCTAGGAATCTGGATTTCGCTGCCCTTCGTGGCCCCGTTGCATCCCTTCGTGGCTCCCTCGCCTTGTTTCGTGGACCCGTTGCAGCCCTTCGTGGCCCCCTCGCTGCCCTTCGTGGCCCCGTTGCAGCCCCTCGTGGCCTCCTCGTTGCCCTTCGTGGCCCCGTTGCAGCCCTTCGTGGCTCCCTCGCTTTGTTTCGTGGCCCCGTTGCAGCCCTTCGTGGCCCCCTCGCTGCCCTTCGTGGCCCCGTTGCATCCCTTCGTGGCCCCCATCGCTGCCCTTCGTGGCCCCATATATGTATGCCCTTCGTGGCCCCCGCTCGTTCGCGCCCGTGGTGGCCCCATATGCATGCCCTTCGTGGCTCCGCTGTCGCCCTTCGTGGCCCCCTCGCTGCCCTTCGTGGCCCCGTTGCTGCCCTCAGTGGCCCCGTCCTTGCCCTTCGCGGCCCAGTATACGTATGCCCTTCGTGGCTCCCGCTCGTTCGCACCCGTTGTGACCCCATGTGCATGCCCTTCGTGGCCCCGCTGTCGCCTTTTGTGGCCCCCTCACTGTCCTACGCGGCCCAGCTGCCCTCAGTGGCCCCATCGTTGCCTTCTGTGGCCCCGCATTATCTGCCCTTCGTGGCCCCCGCTCGTTCGCGCTCTACGTGGCCCTATACGCATTCCCTTCGTGTCCCCGCTGTCGCCCTTCGTGGCCTACTTCGTGTCCTTGTGGCCCTGCTGTCGTTCTCTCTCGCTCTCGCTTTCGCTCGTTGTCATCGTCGCCGTCGTCGTCGTCGCCGTCGTCGTCGACGTCGTCGTCGTCGTGGTCGGTCCCCTGTCCGTCCCTCTTGGGGTCGGGTCGGCGGTCCGCGGCTGCCCCGCCGATCAGCGCTGCCGCAGGCCAGGCCGAAGGTCCGCGGCCGCCCCGCCGCTTGCCGGGGCCCGGCCTGCAGGGAAGAAAGGTATACCCCCCAAAAGGGGTTCGATCGAAGACGAACAGGGCGGGTATCGAGGGTTTGGGAAATACGCAGAATTGGACACTCGAGCAGGTAAGGGTGAACAGTCTTGAGATGATTGTTGTTGTTGTTGTTGTTGTTGTTGTTGTTGTTGTTGTTGAACATGATTTATTCTAAAGAATAATTATTGTTGGGCCCCCTGGTGCGCGCCCCCCCTGCGCCGCCTAGGCCGCAGCTACATTTTCATCATTTTCGTGAGGAAGCCTCAGAAAAGAGGGTGTGTACAGGATCCGGCTGTTTTGTTGTAATCCGCTTTCCCTTGCAAAAAACAATAGAAAATGACATTTCTTGTTCTAATATAATCAAATTTCAAGAATCCCTTGCAAAAAATAAGGTAAAGTGGACATTCGCGCGCGCAAGACGAAATCCTTCCAAAACCTTAGTGTTCGCAGCGATTTTAACATACAAACATCAAAAAAACAATGGTTTTTCAACAAAAAATTGTCAAAATCTCATCCCGCGCGCTCTTGCGGATTCGTAGGAAACCCAACACTTTTTA